TGGACGATGCAGCGGCGGGAAAACCAGACGACGAGAGATCTTCAGGCTTGGCTATATCCGGAATCCAAGGCATTCGCAAATCATCAGAGGAAGGGATAAAACGGGGCACTGTCGGCAGGAACATACGTGGATGGGATCAAGCGGACAGCTATTCCGAGCTTAGCATCCCAGCAAACACACCCCCACGGCCACGCACCGTTTGACACCATTGCCCTAGAAAAAAGTAGATGAAAACTTCAAAGCCACGACTCTCACAAGCACTTGCCTTGATTGATATCTCTTGGCAAAGAGCTTGAAGAAAAGTTGGGCATGAGGGAAATACATGGGCTTCTGGATGCCTCTTTGCTCTTTCTGGCCCAGTTCAAGGGAGGGTGGGGGGAGGCCTTGCCTCCACAAATACTTGAGAGAGCTGAAACTGAAAGAGACGGGGGGTCATGGAGCATCCGAATCGGATGCGAGAACCTTGAGCTCCAATGGTCGGTGCCGGTTGCCGGCTGTGAAGGAGGAGTTCAGATGGTGATGGATGTGATCGGCCGCCATCTAGACTTTTTATGTACTCTCTTTGTCTCTCTGGCGTCAAGCCACAAATGTTGTTAATCACTTGGCATCTCGATCTCGGATCAAACAACCGTGCTGACATGGTAAAAGATAACGTGAAACCTGGAAGAGGTGAGCATGGAAATCAGGGAAGAGACCCGGAGATGGATGACTGGATCGCATGTGTCCCAGTGGTCAATCCATCTATCCATCCATCTCTTCTTCGAAACAGTGCCGCTTCTCTGCATACGAATGGAAGGTTTTGTTTCGGACGGATACCGAGACGTGTCAAGAGGAAGGTGCTGTTTCCTTGATAGCGGTGAGTAAGAATGATGAGAAATTTGTCCTTGTTGCAATGCCTAACCAGCAATCGCTTGATGAACAGTGGATACCGGCGTTGTTGAAGAGTTCGGATCGGAACCCCGTTTGGTGGTGGACCTCTCAATTGACGGCGTCACGGCACCAACCGACTGAAGGCATCCACTTCTGGCTCGGCCGGCCTTTTATACATATGTATAGCGGGACTCCCATCTGTGAGCTGTCGTGAGCTGTTGCTGGATTTCTGGGGAATTGCAGTCTGGTTTCAACTGCGGGCCACGAGAGACATCACACACCTGAATATTTTTTTTTTAATAAAAAAACTTCCAAACGGTGTGTTGACCAAGAAACGAACTCGCTCGGACCTCAAGACGGACACGGCTTACTTTCAGCCGATTGATTCCCTATATCACACCAGCTATGATGTCGTGGCCCGGGAACAAAAAATCAGACGAGACAGCCGGTATCCAGAGAAGACAGCCATCTAGACTTTCAGCCAGCCAGCTAAAGGTCTCGTAGAAAAAAAAGGGCTCCGAGAGCTTGGTACTGGCTGCTGTGCATCAAATTGCAACGAGATCAATTTCGATTGGCTGCGCGGCTGCAAACGCAGAACCAACAAAGAAGAGCATGTGTAGGTAATTAAACTGAACTTCCAGATCAGGATGCAGTCCGTCCTCTGGTGGGTATGGCGGGGGTGCAGGTGCCTGGCGTGCCTGACAAGGCAGAAGACGGGCAACAGAGCCGACCACCGACATGTTTGTTGGTAAATTGGGACAGTGCTCAAAGGCTGCCGATGGCCAATCCGCCAATCCACCCTGTGCCGCACCCAAGATGCACCTAGAGGGGGCCAGTGCTCAGCTACCTCCCTGTCCAGGTAGTCCAGGTAAGCCCATCGAGCTAATCTACCGGTTTCCACAGGAATGGTAGTGGATTTGCTCCATCTCTCAACCGGGCAACCTCAGACTTGCAACAACTTTCTCTTCGCTCTTCGTCCCGATCCGCCAGCGCCTATTTGACAACTTTGTGTAAAGTTTGCCATCTTGTGCTCCCTCGGCAGCCGGTGACGAAAGCGTTTCATCCATAGCTCTGGAGTTATAGTTTCCCCTTTTTTTCTTTTTCTTTTGGCTGGTTGTTGGCAGCTCTGCACCACCAGACAAGACTTAGGCGCCCTCGCCTTGTCTCAATCAGGGACCCATCCAACCAAGCTTGGGATCTCCAATTTCTTATTTTTTTAAAAAAAGTCCCACTCAGAACCACCAGATCCGGCGAGCCTCATCCAAACAAACCGGGCCAAAATGATGTCCATGTCGTCGCCGTTGAAGAAGCAGCCGGAGGCCGTGGCTGACCGGGTTCTCAAGAGGGCCGAAATAAGCAAGGTATGGTGTTCCGATATATGTCTGCAATCTCTCTCTCTCCTCCCTCCCTCCCTCCCTAGATAGTCTAACAGCAACAATCTTAGATGGCTAGGAGGTTACAGAACCGCCTTGCACTTGCGCAGTTCAAGACGAAACATGGCTTGGAAGACCTTACCCTCGATAAAATCGAACCGAGATTCGAAGACAAAATACGACGCAGCCAGATGCCACTGCCAGATGGCGATATTCTATCCGACTCGTCCTCGAGCGCCTCTGACTTGCCGTATCCTTCGAGGACTCTGATGAGCTCTCCTCTCAAGGCTCCCCTCTTTTCGGATGCCATTGGGTCCAGCAGCGGCAGCACCGGCCACCGAAAGCGCTCATATCCTGATCCCTTCGATCACAACATGTCGAGCCCGAGCAAGCGATTCCGCCAGTCCCCCACGGCTCACAGATCCTTCAGCCATCCAACATGGAAAGATTCCCATAACCTCCTGGCACAATCCTCTCCGTTAAAGCTGGGTCGGCAACAACATTTTACTACCTCGGTCGGCCCCGACCTCTCATTTTTCTCGGGGTCCCGCCAGATCCGCGATATCTACGCATCGACAAATTACGCAGCAACCTCGGATGACGATGACGACCTTCCGACCCACTCCTTCCACCACACAAGCCACCACCACTCTATTCGCATATCTCCGCCACGAACACCCCCAATGCGCAGCCGCAGCCTGCTCAAGAAGAACCGCGGCAGCAGAACGATAACAAAGAACGATTCCAACAACAGCAGCAGCAGCAACAACAACAACAACAATAACAACAGCAACAATAACAACAGCACTAACAACAAGACAAACGGTGAGGAAGGTGCTGATCTTCTCCTGTATCTTGCTGCATCGCCCTCACCTGCCAACCCTCCTCGGAGCAACAACCGAATGGAGCCGCCATCCACACCGCCACCGAAGCGGAACTTGGCGCTGCCGTCTTCGATGATGACCACCCCCGGAGGTGGTAACCCTTTCCCGGCCACGCCCGGCCTGAACGGCTTCAACTTTGAAGACTTTGTTCATATGACTCCTAGCCCGGCACAAAAGCCATGGAAGACTCCTGGAACCCTGGGCGGAAGCAGGACGCCGGCTACCGTGGCTAGGAGACGCCTTACGTTTGATGATACCACGACTTCGTAAAAGATAAGGGAGGAGTTTTATGAATTTCTTTTTTTTTTTCTCTCCTATTTCCTTATTTGTCCTTTCTTGTTGATACCCTATTCCAGATCTCCATTCTTGTGAGAATCTGATGACAAAATTGTTGGCCTCGAATATTTATTCTTCTTTATTGGATTTCTTCCTTGTTTGTTGTTGTTATTGTCTTTATCTTTTCTCCTAAAAGCATTGAGGCGGGTTTTGCACACAACAAACACAGCATCACTATTCAAAAATGACTTAATTCCCCCCACCATCCTCCCATCACCACAAAAAATCCAAAACCCCAAAATATCTTGTTGTCTCACATTTTTCATCCTCTCGAGCGATACACTATTTACAAGGTTGCTTTTTCCCGTTTATCTTTTTATTTTTATTTTATGGTCTCGGGGGAAGCTTTTGAATCCCCCCCCCCCCGCCCTTTTTTTTTTATCGACTTCTTTTTTCGATATATGTTGGAATGAATGGGTGGCTAGGAAGGAAAAAGTTTGGAGGTCTCCAGGAACACGACGCGGTTGAAGACACGATACGCGATACAGTCGAGTTGTCTTGGAATATGTATTTATGTATGTACGAAAAAAAATATACTTGATCGATTGGAAGAAAAGAAAAATCAATTGCGAAACACACAACAACCCAATTGGTTGATACCGTGGTTTTATTCTATTTTATCTTATCTTGGTTTGGGCTCGCGATACCCCGCTTCATCACATCATCATTGTTTCGTCGTGGTGTAGGGAAAATGTGGAATGATGTATGAGATGCAAGTCGCGTTTGACGCGCTTCGGAATTCCAAGTCGCGTTTTAATTATACCGCGCAACTTTTTTTTTACCAATTTAGCCGGGATTTTCTTTTCGCGTCAAGGACGCGCGAGCTTGGGATTTTCGTTGGTTGTCTGGAAATGGTTTTTTTTTTATTGGAAACTTTTGACCAATCACCAACAAACTCAAAACCACTTCCTTTTGAGAAAGAGAGAAAAGTTTAATTACCACCGTTTTTATTCTATTTTATTTTTTTACATGGCACGGAATGAAAGAAATGTCTCCGTTGCCAAAATTATCCGGGTATGTAGTAGGTATACTTTGTATCTACCTTTCTGTCTGGGTTGGGGTTATTTTTTTTTGGAGAGAGAGGGAGGGGGAGGGGGAGGGGGTTTTGGGTTAGGTATTTTTCCTTAAAGAAGAAAAAAAAAAAAGAAAAGAAAAAAGAACCAAAAAAAAAAAAAAAAAGAAAAAAAAAAAAGAAACAAGGATCATGGGGAAATGGAGAGGAAGGGTGGGTACAGTATGTGTGGGGTTTTTTTTTTTTTTTTTTTTTTTTTTTCAATTGGGGAATTTTTGAAATTGTTAAAAACGGATAATTATAGAGGCACCTTATTACGGTAGGTATGTGTATGTATGTACCTATGTACTGTACTTTGAAGAAGCAATGTAATAAAAGTATACATGGGGCCAGACAGCGGAGGGATATGACAAAAGTTTCTCTTCCATCCGCCCTCCCCCTCCGCCTTCCTCTCAAATCCCAAATAAAAAAAAAATAAAAAAAAAGAGTTAGTTTATACTTTTTGATATTTAAAAAATTAAATTTCGACGTGGGCCTGATTCGAACAGACGCTCCCGAAGGAACAAGATTTCTAGTCTTGCGCGTTAGACCACTCCGCCACCACGCCTTTTTTTTGTCTTTTTTCCTTTTTTGGTATCTTTTCGTGTCAATTTTCTCATTACATAACGACAAATCCATACCCGATGTTGCATTTTAGTTTAGAAAGATTTTTAAAAAAAAATTTGGAATGTTTTAAAACGAAAAATCACCCTAAAATTTTGTTTTTCAAAAATATTCATGACTAGAGACTATAAAAAGAGTGAAAAAAGGAGGTCGTAACATGACGATATAGGAATGGAGACAACAAAAATGGGCAAGATGAAAAGTTGATGCAACTTATTAGATAACAGATAGTTTACATACACACACATGTATATATATATGTATACATATATTTAGAGAAGGTGTGTTCCTCAAAAGACGGAATCAAGTGGCTGTGCGCAAGAGGGAAACGGCGAGCCGAAAGCTAAATGTATAATAACGATGGTGAAAACTTTCTGTGACTGCGTCTGTGCAGTTGAGTTGGAGATGTGATATGTTCAGATGCTGTTTAGCGTCGGGCCATGGAAACGTGAACTGAACAGAATTCCGATCCCAAAAATACCCCCAAAAGTGTGCAGTAATATTTGACTACCAGGTTCGCAGAATGACCTAAGACAGTCACCGAAATGAACATTCAGTCACCTGCTCAGCGACACTGGAGCTATAGCATAAACTAACAATACTCGGTTGGCTTGAATAATCATAACTTTTGGGTAACCGTCTATCTTATTGCTCTTATAAACCTGCTGTGTATATGCAGACCGGAGAGAGTGAGCACAAATTCATCCCGAGCTCATCGTGTCAGCCCAGCTATGCTTTCGTCTACCCTAACGCCTAGGCTATGCCAACCTTTGGCAACGACAACGCACACCATAAAATTATCCCAACTTAGTAGCATTCCAGGCGAACAGGAAAACCTTGCTATTCGTCATCTGCGTCGTTCTCCTAATCACTATCTTCGTCCTCGCTGCTCTCCTCTTCATCGGCATTCTCCAACCACTCAACCAGGACTCTGCACTTTTCCTTGACCTTTGTCATGGACTCGCCTTCATCAGCCCTCTTATCAACCCACCAAGCCAGAATGCCGTCTTCCTCGAGCACGTCCAGATTGTAAAGTTGCTGCAGCATGGCAGCCAAGAGGGTACCGGCTCTACCGGTTTCCAAACCCTTGATGCCCACCAGCCCCTTCTGAACAGCAAGAGCAAACTCTGACTGCTGCTTGACGTCCTCGCCGCCGACACCAACCTCCCTGATAAACTTGAGGGCACCCTTCTTGGCTGTGAGTGCCTTCTCAGCGGCCTTTGTGGGCTCTAATGCACCGTGTTCCGGGTTGAGAAGTTCCGATGCCCGCTTGACGAATGCAATGGCAATAGCACGACGCATGGAGTTATCCGAGGCATTGTTTGCAAGTCTAAGGCCCATGAACTCGAGCTTAGCTCCGTCAAAGTCGTCGTTGTCGTCGGATCTGAGTGCATCGACAAGACCGTTGACTGCGTCGCTATGGAAGGCATCCGACTTGCCAGCATCGTCCGAGGTGAATGACGACAATCTCTCGCGTGCACCATCGCCGGGGTGAAGATAACCACCGTGTTCCTCGTCCTCATCCGAATCGTATTCTGAATCAGAGGCTAGTGTGGAAAGTGATTCCGTGGAAAGATTGAAGCCCTCGCGCGAGTATACGAGAGAGTTAAGAATAACTGTAGGATCCCTGTCGCCCTCCTCGTCCTCGTCCTCGGACTCGTCTTCATCTACGAGGGCTTGGTAGTTGGCACCCTTGCCGCCTGGGCCGACAAGTGATACGTCGTTGTCGACATCGTCCCCATTATCGTCTTTGATGGCAAGTCGGACGGTGGGTTTTGCTGGCAACTGAATGCCACTGTCAATTTGTACACTGTAGGAGATGAGCGAGCCCTCTGGAACATGGCAGTTTTCTCCAATTACCACCGAGCCTGCTATTATGGAATGAATGACAGTGGTGCCATCCCCGATTACTGTGTCGTCGAAGATGTAGCTGTTCTCAATCTTGACATTTTTCCCAATCTTACACCTCCTTCCGATCACGCTCTTGGTAATTGTGCTGCCGCTCTCTACGGTTGTAGAGCTTCCAATGACAGATCGGATGACCTGGCTTCCGCCGTTGACCAAGACATTGTTCTCAAGGTCCGAGTTCCCTTTCCTTCGATATGTTTGGTCGTGCATGAGATTGCTGGTTGGCACGAATGGAAAAGTCCAGCGCCCAAGAATATCCTTGCTGATGCAGTCGTACATTTGAAGGTTGCTGGCGCGAGCGCCGTAACCCTCTTCAACGATTTCCGAGTATATTAGCTTCCCATTCAGCTCCCAATCTTTTAGCACACCATGGAGAAAGTTTTTTCTTGGAAGCTCATAGTCGAAACTTTCTGACCACAAAGCGAGTACATCGGGTGTGCAGATATCGATGCCGCAATCTATCAGGTCGGCCCTCTGTTCGACCGAGCTGTGCTTGAATAGCGCAATGTCGACCAAGACATTTCTATCACTCTGTAGTGGGTGGGTTTCTTCGTATTGCAGAATCCTGGAGTCCTTGGCGTCGATATGAAAGACCGGCGTGATTCCCCGAGCCTTTGCGGCCCTGTGAGGTTCCTCGCCTACCGAGCGCAAAACCACCGTCATGCAGGCATCTCGGTTTGCTTCTCTCCGCGCGCGGTGTTTGGTGATAATGGGGTCCAGTGGGATGTTGGAGACCAAATCACCGTGGACGAGAACAAAATCGCCCGAGATTAGACTGCGCTTGTCGAGATCTCGCAAGAAGTCTCCGACAGAGGTAGCGTCGGACACGCGGATAAACTCGAGAGTCTGGAAGGGAGAGATCGGAGAGCCTGGGCGCCATCGTGAGGATTCCTCAATGTATGTCTCGATGGCTTCGGAGTGTGCACCGCAATATATGAAGACATCATTGACACCGTTGGAGGCTAGGTACTCTAGAGTGTAGTCGATCGCGGGAGTGTTGACGAGGGGGAGGAGGCACTGAGCAAAGGGAGGGTGTTAGAAATTCATGTGGTGTCCGGTAGTTGGTCGACGAGAGTCACGTCATGCATACCCTTGGGGTGTCCTGTGTGAACGGCTTGAACCTGTCTTGGAAGTAGTCGGCGATGATAACGGCCTGGAGCGAGTCCTCGCGCTTGTCGTCGGCGCCAGGCTTGGTGGGCTTCTTGCCCTTACCAGCGGCGCCACCCTTGCCCGCCTGCTTGGACATGTGGTTGGTAGTTCTTGCTTGTCTCAATCGATACCGGTAGAGCTACCGTGGGACAGCGCAATTGGATATACTGGGCAAGAAAAAAATGCTGTGGAATCGACGGAAACGGTATCGCAGCGGTACTGTGACGTGTGAGTCAATGCCCCTCCCCCCAAGCTCACAATTCCCAAAAGTTTCATGCAAGGTGGGGCGCGGGGTAAAAGCTGGTTGCTGCAAGGCTGACAGACAAGGCCGAGAGAGCACAGACCACCTGTCTAGATGGCATCATAAAGCAGACGGAAACATGAGGTCGGAGACTCGTGCTAATACTGAGAGAAAGGTAGCTAGTGTATACCTATGGATTTGATTATGATGAAGTGCAAGAACCTCTTAAAATTTAAAATACGATCAAGACCCCTCAAAGGCAACGAAAACGATTTCGTCCCGCCCGATAACGAGAACTCTATTTTTTCGTATCAATATCACAAATCCGGTACTTGTATCATACGTAACCAGGAACAAAAGAGCCTGACCCAAGCAAAGCTCTACGCCATAAACCTCCAGCAACTGGACAAAATCCCCCTCTGAACCCCTTCACCCAATCATCAAACCCTGCCACTTGCCGAGACCGCCCGCAGCCAAGACTTTCCAACAGCCGGGGAAGGGGCTGAACACAAGCAAGTGCAGGGTCCAGCGTTTGGTTTCCTCTGTGCGGCGCAGATAAGCCCAGTAAATCGACCGATCTAGACCCTATCTTTGTGTTGCGATATGGAAGCCAAAAAAAGAAATCGCACCACCTTCTCTTTTGTCGATATCACAGAATTGAATCCAATCAAAAGGAAACGTCGTCCATGCTTGCCGTAAAATACGAACGATAACGACACAAACGGTATTTTTCACCGTTACTTTCCAAAAAGAAAAAAAAAAGAAAAAGAAAAATCAAATAAAAATTAAGGAAGCGAGAAAAAACTTCCTGACGAGGGTACCCCAGCAGTCAACTTTCTTAGCTCCCGAAGCTCAGATTGAAAACGGTTCCCGTCTCGCGCCGCTACCCCATGCGTCTCGGAGGCTTGGAAACAACTCAGTCCTCTCTTTCGCAGCAGCGATTTGAACCAAGATACGTATCACAACGGATAATTATCTGCTGGATGCTGCTTAGGAAGCCCCCCGTCATCCAAGCACAGCGGATCCGTAGGTTTCCCAGGTTGGTCTCCGCGGGATAGGCGCATGCTTAGGTACTCACTGCTTGCTCTGGCGTCGTGTGGCTTTTGCTTAGCTGCGTGGGACCCTTTCCTCCTTCTGCATAAAGTTAGATGCCGAGGTTGTTGAACCTCATCGTCTCCATGGCCCTCCATGACTGCTGGGCTTCCAGCCATGGAATCATTGTCTCGAGAAGCATCTGATATGACAACATGCCCGTGGCAGGATACACAGTACTTGCGGAATAGTCATTCACAGCAGGCCAACATAAGCAGCCGGCAGGCACAGAAGATTGCAAACGGCAACACACCTCATAGTGAACGGACTGGTACAGAATTACTTAACCAAGCCCGACCAAATTCAAGCCAACATGGACTTCTGTTCGTATTACCACCGCTAGCGTCTCCCCTATCCTACCACTCAAGAAGCCCAGACCATTCTTCCAGCCGCGCCCAGCAGGGCTAGAACTTCATAGACCCCCTCGTTATTATTTGTTTGCTTGTAATTAACGGGTCGGCTTACGCAGTTCCAATAGGAAGCGTTTCGAAATGCCAGGGTGTGGATTGATTTCTGTCCCTCATTAGTTTGTCATGCTAGAAAACGAAGAATCC